GGTCCCCCCCCCCACCCCAAGAGGGGGTGGGGGGGAGCAAGCGGCTGGGGGGGCTCAGCTGCTGGCCGGGGGCTGGGGCTGCATGGTGAAGGGCTAAAGCGAGCCCCCCCCCCCCCAGTGACTGCCAGCAGCCGCCAAGGTTTGCCTTTGCAGAGCCCCCTACATCCCTGGAGGAGTCCTGGGGACCACGCTGAGCTACAGGTGCCACCTGGGGGACACGATAGCCAGAGGCAAGTCCCCTGTGGTCAACCTTCCTCACCAGTGCCCGCTGGTTGGTGGCAAACCCCAACTTCTGCATCGGTGGGTTCACTCCGTCACGGTGTCCTGGGGTCTGGAGAGGGGGGTGTATCCCCTGCTGCACCCCAGGCCCCACTGGCATTCGGCACGGCTGGGAAGGGGCTCCCGGTCCCTGGTTTTAGCACAGTTGGGAACAAGCGCTCGCCCGCATGCCTGCCTGGGGTTGCCCTTTCTGCTTAGAAACATTAATCTCTGGGAGATGATCTCTGCCCTTCTCATTTACTTTGCCATCTGGTGGTACAGCGTAAGTGCTACCATACATTCGCAGAGAAACGAGGTACAGCGTGGAAAAGGCCGTGGGAGCCTGTTGTCCCCATGGTAATGCACCTGTACCGGCCCTGGGGCCAACACACCTCTTTGTCCCCTTCTCCTTCGTCCTGTTTCCCTACGGACCAAGACCTCTGCCCTGAGCTCACTGGTCTCTATTGGTTTCCCAATAAGTGTATAAAGCTTGGCTTCTTTTATTTGACCTTAGCTTTATTTGTGCTTTTATTTGCATTTCATTTGTGTTTTAACCTCCAGTTCCTCCGGAGTTAACGTGGAATTTGTGTCTTTTCTGCAAGTGCTGGTACTTGCTCATGAGGCAATCGAGGTGCCCGATAAATGGGCAATCGGTCTGCAACGCCATGAACAGCACTGCCACCGGTGTTTCACCATCGTGCTGTAAGATAAAGCTAATGCTGATCGCTTCTCCTTCCAGGAAAGTCACGGGGTCCACCAGACATCCTGAATGGCAACTTCCAGTGCCCTTATTTAGTGGCTTTGATGTGGCCAGACCCCATCTCACAGCAGGGGCAACTTCTGGTTAATGACCGGCCTGCATGCAGTGGTGGGGAGGCCGGGATGAACCCTTCCCAGGTTGTTGGGAGAAGCTGGGAAAGTACTAAGCTTGTCTTTCTTTAGGTATGAATTAACAGGAGTCGTCTTCTGCCAAACGTGTGGTATCAGGAGATGGAGTTGATTGGGATACAGCATCTCCATACTGTGAAAGTAAGCGGGAAAAACTCTGCACAGAGCCATTTAGACTGGATCTAAGGAAGAAATTCTTGACCATGAGGGTGGTGAAACCCTGGCAGGGGTTGCCCAGAGAGGGGGTGGAG